ATATTTAAAGCACAAATAAAGATGTTGTTTTCATGATTTTTAATTAAGTATAAATAAAAAGCCTTTTTATTTATAGTTTATTTCAAAACTAATTTAGGAAGTTCTCATATATCAACAAATATATTCATAAACGAGTTATTTCTTAAGAAAATTTAAAATTTCATAAGATAAGTTATTTCTCAACGGACACTGGAATTTCAAATTTCCATTGAACAAATATCTCGCGCCAACGACCGACATGGTATAAATGTAATCAAAATGTTCCTTGCATTCTATGCTAATGTTGAATACAAAAATCAGTTGCGGTATCATGTGGTTTAGTAAATTAGTTCCTTAAATACTATATGGAATTGATAGAGGGACAAGCTCCAACTCACACAGACAGACACCGAACCAAATTTGATTTTTGAGGTCTGAAATATAAAACGCGAGTGAATTTTTTTGATTCTGAGCACAAAATTTTATTTAACCTTCCGTACTAATACAAAGCTTTCCTACCTTCGGTTGTGAGGAAGCAAAAATACCCTCGTTAATTATGGTTCATCTATGTTTTATCATTTTTTTTTATATGTTTGGTATCTTAATGAAGAATTTAAGAATTATATTAGGTGGAAGAGGTGCAGGAAGGATAATGGTTTTCATAATAATTCTTAGTACCGTTGTTTTATCCGAAGATTTTCTTATAAATTATCATATCCGGTTTATGAAACGTTTATTTTATCTAGGGGTTATCTATTTTTATACCTTCATCCCTTATTCAATAGGTTCCTCGAGTCCTAAACACTTCAAAGGGATTGCTCGGGTTCTGTAAACTAGTGCTCATAAGGTGGCAACTAGACCGTAACGTTTGATCCATGACAACCACTAAGAGCTAATGCAGGTGCTTTCATAACCCGTGTAACCTCCGAAGCTTCCTCTGAGAAACCTTGGTCCAAAATGAAATTTCCACTCGTGAGTTGGTTATGACACTCAGCTCATAACCTAGATTGTCTAACATATTGCTATACCCCCGTCTTCCTATACAGTAGATGGTTCCTTTTAACATTATTATTTTTTTCTTTTTGAAAAGGAGGAAGTATATTATAAATATTTTTTTGAAGCATATATATCCATATGGTCGAAACAAATGATAAATATCGAATCTGAAAATCCCCATTCTAATATCATTATCACTTCAATCCAAACAACGAGGAATTTTTAATTTCGACAACATTTTTTTTTTTATTATATCTTAATGATATTTACAATTGTATTAAAGAAATACATTTAGTAAAATTGAACATATGGATATAATGACGTGAAAACACTTGTTGAGTAACTATCCAATGGTAGCACTCTATTGATATGTCTACATTAGGAGATCACGGGGCCATCTTCTTTTCAGACGCCTCGGAGGGTTATTAGGAATTGAAGAGGAAGCAATGTTAGAAACGAGAGGGTTGGGATAATTCTGAAGTTTATTATGAAATGATAGGTATCTGGATTGGGCCAGATCTGAAACATAAGAAATATTAAGGTCATTATGGATAGTTTTTTATTTGTAACAAAGTAGGGAGCATTGAGGATTTTACGAAGGATTTTGGATTGTAAGGATTGGATACGAGAGGAATTCGATGGTTTAGTGGAGCCCCACAGCTCAACTCCGTAAGTCCAAATAGGCCTTATTATAGTCATGTATATGAATCTTTTGTCATTAATTGGAAGTTTATCTAGTAATTGCTGAAGTAATCGGAAACGTCGAGCGGTTTCTTGTCGTTTCAGTCCCGTATGTCGACAATAATATGAATTTCTCATTACATTTATGAATTAATACTAAAAATTCATAAATAGCCATTTACTTGAATTGCAAGATAATTTGATCACAATATAAAAAATATTGGGCTGTTTGGCATATATAACCTTGTTATTTTGACAAGTTAGGAATTGAGGTCACGACAAACGGTCCAATATTTTTATAGGCCACTTTTTTTTTATCGATGTTATTATTAAATTCAGTTCAACTGAAAAACAAATGAATCCTCATGAGTTTTTAGTCCATAATTAAATAGACGAAGTTTGCCGATCTCCAAAATGATTTTTACCAGTTATGTTTAATAATTATCATTTATTTTAATTTTACTGTTTTTTGTTTACTCTTGTTTATTTTATTCATGTTTTTTTTTATAATCTTTTAAATGGTATGTATTGAATTTATATATAATATTTTTATTTAGTCATTGTTAAGGTGTGTTTAAACATTTCACAAACAAATTATCTAACTTAACTAGCAGCAACATTATTGCTAAACCAAAATATTTATTTTAATTTCTCTTGATACCGTCACCAAATGAAGAATATAATAATAAAAAAAATACTAGTATAGTGCAATAACCATTTATATATTTGTTTATCGCAGAGTTTGTGGAATATCTAAATACACATTAACTTTTTTATGTTATTTGAAGAGCACATTTTAGTAACATTGCTAATTCTTAACGTGTCCTTTTAGTAATTTTCTTATATTAGCACAAGACATATTATGTTCAGTTCATCAAACTTCTTTTATGTTTAGGGAATGACGTATATGTTAGGTTGATTTTGGAGGCTATCTATTAAGAAAAGATTTAATTTTATATTTTTAAAAGTAGGCTATTGCAATCGTGAGTGAAATATGTATGTAGTATCGTTTATCCATAGAAAGTGAATATATTCTTTAATGATTTATAGAGAAAACTATTCTTAATTTACCAAATCGTTCTTTTCCTTATGTTCAATGATAAAAATGCTTCATTATTATTATTTTAAATCATAGTGAGGGTTAATGGTCATATTTAATAGCAATAACAAAAAAAAAAAAGATGGAAAATAATAAAAATAAGGAAGGAAAAATTACCTAATTCAGATTTACACCATTAAAAGTAGTTGTTTTTTTGTAATTTTTATTACTTCATATAAAGTTGAGCTTTTGAAGACAGACATTTTTCATTAAATTCCATCAATGCGATACATTCGTATATCTATTTTAAATGTTTATTGTATGCTGTGTTACAGTATAAGATGTCTAGAATAGTAAATGATGTCTAGAATAGTTATCATCGGCAGCATCTGACAGATTAAATGAATAATCAGTCTCGTGTAAAATATTGACAACTACGCAATAAAAATCTAGAGAAATGTGTTTACAGCGCTAATTCGTGGCGTTGACACATCATTCTAGATACTAAACTAGATTAAGAGAGTAATTAAATTGTTCTCTTGTTTGTTTTAATATATGATTAAAGATATAATGCTAATTTGTTTGTAAATGATTAAATATTATTAATTTTTTTTTATTAATTTTAGACTGGCGATATGTTTAACGATAGACGTACTTTAAATTCGATAAAATGAATTGCTATACTAATTAGAGGTTCAGATGTATTTTGAACGATTCCTGATATTGATAATGATCAATTGATAATTAATGGTAAATTATAGGAAGTGAAGTTTTGGATCCAAAATTCTTATCAGTAACGGCGCACGCTAATTAGTGGGTATTATCATGAATGCCTTCATTAAGAGACTAATTTATTCTAGTGATTGGAAATATGTATTATGGAAATCGATCATAAATAAATATAAGATGAGTGTTTTCAAAAATTTAATATATATCAATGAAACTTAGTGACTAAAGGTTTTAACATACTTTTTGAAACTGTAAATTCCACAATATCAATTAAAAAAAAAATATTTTCATTACAAAATGAATTGTGAAATTTTCAAATATTATATCATTGTACATCACTTTTGTTAAAATTTGTTTTCTTTTAATATTGATTTAATATTAATATGGGTCCATTTGTAACCCACTCGTAAGTAACAACTCGACCTTCCTTGTGTTATGTTAATTAAGCTTAAAAATGACAATAACAAAAAAATTTGCTTGTATTCGTGATAATAATAATGGTCATCGGGTATTCGAAAGTATTCCATTAAACATTTATAGCTTCTTTATTCGGCTTTCTGAAAAGATGGATCGATAAATCAGATTGGGCATCTACTGATTCTTTCAGTGCTTTAACAATACCGATTTTTTTATTATCTGAGAAATTGCGCTCTTCATCGAAATCTCAACAAGAATTTTGCGTTTTATCTCTCCAAACACATTTCGTTATGTGTTTGTGAATTTTTTTCAAATCAATTGAAAAATATTTTTTCTAAATATAATAGATTGGTTAGGAATTCGACATCCAGTAATATTCGTTTTCTATTTCGTTTTTAGTCTGATAGTTGTTCATGACTTAATTTGATCTTAAGTGATACTTACTTTTAACACTTGTTTATATGAACTTTGGTTCAGAGTTATATTTGCAACAAAATACGGTTATCCATTTTTCAAATGCTTACCAATACACACTGTGTCCATTACCTCTTGAATACATATTAAATTAACAGATTAAAAAAAAAATACTTGTACCATTACAGCCCATGAAAAGTCTCGGGTTCAGTACTATTTAGGGAAAATACTGAAAAAAAGTAAACGGTTGTGCAGGGAGGTGATTGGACCGATATCACGCTCAACCGCCAGGTTTTCCCTTTTAATTAATTATTTAATTAAATAGTACCCACTTTAGAGATACTGGGTGGGCCCTAAGAGGGTCTCCCGACTCCAGGATCGATCTACAGCCAATAAAAAATTATTGTCATAATCCGGATTTATTATTATCCGGATCCTAGTCATCAGAGGGATTTGAACCTGGGATCTTTAGCTCTGGAAGTCAGTGCTCACCCACTGAGCTACCAAGCTTCCTATTAAATTAACAGATACATACTAATATGAAATTAATTAATATCTCTGATTCTGTAATTTTGGTCGCAACAGTGTGGTACTTGATTACTTTCAAATTTTTTAAGTATTATATTTAAAACATTATATATTCATACTGTATTAATATTCTACACATTATAATAATAAATGTGATAATCAGAATCCTTTTCACACAATACTTTAGAATTATAAATTTGAAAATAACTATTTTATTATTTGATTTTTTTTTCAGGTGAATTTCTACTCTATCTTATTTCGGGTGAAGATTCCTTCTCTGAAAACAGAAATTTTAAGTAAGGTATTTTTTAAAAAATAACTAAATCTTGGCAGCTTGTTAACAAAAAAAAAAAAAAAAGTTTTTGATCGTAAATTTTTACAGGAATTCTAATTTTGTCAGAATTCTACCTTGGCCACTATTCTCAAGGTTATGTTTGTTGTTTTACTTCCTCATCGACTTTGACAGTTTATTTTTTTTTTTTTTTAAGAATCAGAAAGTAGTTTGTTTTGGTGTAGACTGGTTTGGAACTCCGGTATCGACGAAATATTTATAAAAGGTGGATTATATCTCAAAATATTAATCTGAATATTTGGACAACATTTTCTATTTAATTATGTAATGTTTAATGTTCAGCTTATTCTTTTTTTTTTATATATAGATATAAAAACTAAACTATTTTGAAGTGAAAACATCTTAGGGCACTTTTATTTTTAAAACTTTTTTAGGCGCGGTTTGTACGCGGATTGTGTTGCCAATAATCATTGACAAATCCTAGTATATCAAACCACGTATATCAACGTATCTTTTCTCCTTAAAAATTACTACTATTTACTGCTCAATGTTATTTAGCAGTTAATAGTAGTTATTTAATGTTATTTTTAAAATTAAATCAGAGCTTTGCTTATTAGTGCGATTCATAATTTTTAGGTGAAAAAAAAAAACTTTTTTTAAGTGAAAAAAACAAACTTTTTTTAAGTGAAAACTTCTTTAGGTGCTTTTTGCACTTTATTTTGTAGGGATTGAATTAGAGTTAGCCGTCAGATTTCAGATGTGTAACGATCGGGTAAATTCGGTTGGAGTTGACTAATTGAAGTGTTTTTGCATATGGATTAAACTATCACAAAAATTAAAAATTGTTCAGCATTTCACCCTCTCTGATATGGACTATTATTCAAAATTGTACTTTAACGCGACCCCTTGTTAGAGAGACGGAAAGAGAAAGAATTATATTTTTATGAATAAAATATTTAGGCTAAATTTTAATTAAACATGAAGGCTTTAATATACAATTTTATGTTTTTAATAGTAAATATTCATTATAAGGTATAAATATATACCTTAATAGTTAATAGGTATTTTAGGATACAATACAGTGTCAATTTATCTTGTATTACTTGCTAAGGTTTTAAATATCTCATTTTCCCTCTATTTACAATAATAATAATAATATATAGCAAAAAAAATAGCAATGTCTATAGGTTGTGAAAAGTTTCAGCTTGTCTGCTTGTATTAGATTAAATTATATTGTTACTCACTCTTTTTAGTTTGTCCATTTAGTAAATGAAAGCATTCCTTTGATTGATTTATAAGAAAATTCATACGACCGTGAACAAAATCTTTTTTAAAATTTATCAAAAGTTTGAAATTGTACAGATCTAAAAACACCAATTTAACCTAAAATTATAATACATGTTGTCCTAAATTAGATATATAACCCTAATAATAACTTTTTAATTAAAAAAAACATTAATTGGATTGTGATAATGATAATTTTAAAACTTGGAATTCTTATAATGGCGGACAGTTATACAATCTGTGGCCTAGAAGCCTGTAGATTTCGCTAACAGGAAATAAATCTTGCAGGAATTATAATCGCTTTGATTACTGACTGGTTCCTGTCTATTGGTTTAATTTATATATATATTTTTTTGATAATGTACCAACAAACTTATATATTAACAATTTTTTTTTTATTTGTGTTAAAAAATAATGGATGAATTCATGTTACATCCACAAGTAAAACTACAACAAGATTGCTGAAAAAATATTTATTCTTCTTTTTTAATGTTTTTAATATTTTGAAATACTTCCAAATGACTATTCATTGTTTTGTTTTATTATTAATGAATAAATTTCATGTTTTTTAATTTTTTTGGATTCCAATGTTGCATAGGTGTGCCAGCCTATTTTTCTTTTTGCAGAAGTTCGATTTGAACTCTGTAAAAGAATATTTTCCAAATATATTATTTTTTAAATTGTGTCCCTTCTGCGATATTTTATATTTAAAATAATTAATATTATTGTATCACAACAGAATATTTCCTAAAAATTTGGTAGGTGATATATAATAAGTTTTTAAGATTTTTATTGCCATCTTTTCAACTCAAGTTTGAGGGGTGCATAACCAGCATTTCATCAGCTGTTTAAGTAAATAAAATTCAAGTAACACTATCTGAAACAACAATCTCACTATAATAACCTAACAAGACCACATCAGATCCTAATATAAAACCTTTCAGATCACGTAATAAACGGTACTTGAACATCTTCAGTGCTGTAATCTGATGACACCTACAGGCTTGGGTTCGAAACGTTGGCAATGACAATCTTAAACCTGACTGCCAGGGGTCCCAACAAGAGGTTTTCATGGCGACAGTTGCTCCATAAACATATTTGAGGAAGCACATTGTGACGGGGTTTTCAATTCTTTGGGGGGAGTGGGCACATGTCGACCGGGTTTTGAATGAATTCGAAATGAAAAGTTTCAAATAAAAAGACAAATGGAAGCATGGAAAAGACTGGAATTGTACAGGAAGGAGATGGTACGGGACAGCGGTCATAAATAGGCTAAATAGTGACAGAAATATTTTATTAAAAGCCGACGTTTCGAACTTTTCATGTATTTTTCAAGATGTGTTCAGCTAGGAGTTTCGCTTGAACTGAACAGTTGAACTGGACGTCGAAACTGTTCCTTTATAATGCAACGGTCAACTACTAAACATTCAATATCAGTTTTAAATTGTACTTTTGTTTTCACTGTTTATAAGAAGAGGATATCAATAAAATATCTTAGGAGGGGTGGGGGAAGGTTCATACGTCATCGACCTTAGGGATATGGTCACTCCTGCTGACTGCATCCTGACAATCTATCACCAAGATATGTAAACAGCAGATTAACTTCCTTCTAAATATTTTGGTCCTGTAAGATATTTGATATTTAAATCAGTTCAGTTTAGAAAATGTGGTGTATTTAAATATCCGTTATTAAATATTTGAATACCCATATACCACACAAGTCCTAACATAGTATCTGAAAAATAAAAGAGGTTTACGTAAACTTCAGTGAAGTGCAAAGTAGGCTTACAGATCAATGGGAGCACTGGAAACAATAATGAATCATTCCTGTATTTATAAAAATATAATATCCTCACGCATAAACACACCCACACATATAATGTTTATCAATGTCCTATCCACGGTGGGGATGATAAAAGTTATGAAACGTATCACTGAGTGATAAAGCAGTCTTTACTAACCTACAAAAATTAGACGAAGGACACACAAAAAATCTTTTACGCCATAAAAAGGTAGTAATAATGGTTCAGAAATCCGGTATGGATTGGTCCAAAATTTTTATAATATTGGATCAATTTGATCCTGCGAACTAACGAAATCCTTTTACATGTTTAAGTTGCCATACAAGAAACTAATCAAGAAAATTGTAAAAAAAAAGATACCGTTGAAAAAGTTGATAAAATCATTATTAATTTAATTATTGTATATAGGTATGCATGTATTTTTTGCTTAGTGTTAATTTTCTTATTTTTAGGTTATTTTATTTTATTTATTGTATATACTTTTTGATTATTATTTATTGTTATTTTGCTTCTATTTATTTTATATTTTTTGTACATATATTGTGAATGTCATCCTACCACACTTTAACTAGTGCCCATGTGACAGATTGTTGTAACACTCAATAAATAAATTTTAAAAAAAATTAAATGGTAGAAGAATTTCTTAAAGGGAATAATAAATAATTTGTATTAGATGGCATTAGAGTTTATTCATTAAATTGCATAATTTTGTTTTAATTCATATTTGTGACGCCCCCTGAAATACAACGCGGCAATTATCACTTATGACTCAACTGTAAATGTTAAGGGGGAAGAATTGAGTGAATTTTGAACTCCTATCCAGCATAAATCTAACCCAATTTTAAATTCAGAAAAATGTCTGTAAAACAAAACAATTTAAATTAATTCTTACCTTTTCTCGATTATTGATTCATCATGTCAAATAAATTTTCATAAATTAAGTATATACATTTGCAAAGTTTCATGTATCGAAGCCAATCGCATGTAAAATTGTATTTGTTAATTTAAAAAAAAAATCTCATTTAATTCAAGGTTGAATTTTATTTCAAAATCTCATTTTTTTTTTCGTCTGCGGTGAGACAGTTGAATAAGGCTGAAGTGCATAATTTAGCCTTTGATATTCAAGGCTGGTATTAAATTATCGGGTAAAGAGGAATTTTCCTTTTTAAATTGTGGTGATTATCTCGAGATTTCTTGTCAGTAGGTATGTCTTTTTTTCTATTTTGTATCTTGTATTTAATGGAGTATCGTTCTAGTATATTTGATTCTCATAGAGATTTTTAGAATTTTTGTGGTGGTTTGGTTGAATAGAAATTTCGATATCAAGCATAATTTACACATATTTAGGCTCTTGGGGTCTAACAATTTTTTTTAAAATTGTTTGTGTTGATTTTAGATTCGTTTTGAATACTAATACCATTGAAAAAAATCCTTGATGGATAGAAGTTACTATTTTAGGTATTATTAGTTTTCTAGTCATACCTTAATGAATATTTTACAACATTAGCTATTATTAGTGTTGCTCAAATGCGAGACCGAGGCAAGTCTTGGTCTTGCAAACTCAGTCTTGGTCATGCGTAAGACTCTCGCAACAGTCTTGCAGTTACTTATTAGCTTATTAATATAGAGATACTACTGTATTTTTTTTAGATAAGAGAAACCTAACTAAGCCTGAATGAAAAATTAGAGGAGTTAAATGCAAAAGTATATTGGATATACCAATTCTTTACATATAGTAACTAAAATTATCAAGTATTAGTAACTATTTTGCCTTAATATTTATTCAAAAAATCAATTTTTTTTTACTAGTCCTGGCCTTGGTCTTGCAGCAGTTAGGCGGCCTTGGTCTTGGTCTTGCGAAGTGCAAGATCAAGAACAATTTCGGACAAGAGAGCTATTATGTTATATCACATAAACAATTTT